GGTCCTCTTCCTATCGGCCTTTCTCCCTGCCGTCTGATCGACCTTCACCTTCATGCTGCCGTTCTCCTGTTCCGTCCCGCCCCCTACTCTCCATTTTTCTATTGGCTACTTTCGCATAGGTCTGTCCTCGTTCCTCCAATGAGCATCTGCCTCTGCTCTCTACTCCGGTTTATTTTGTCCTCTTTCTGGGTCTGTCACGTCTGCTCTATCTGGCCCCGAAGGCCGGCGAACTGTGTGAAAAAAATATCTTAAATGCCTATCTGGCCCAGATTGCCCTCGTGATGACAGCTTAGACTCACTCCCATAATAGGGCTGTTTAATCTGTGAGACGAATGTTAATTCGACTCTGTCATGTAAGAACTCAACTGACGGGTTGCGATTCGGTCGTGTCTCAACATGGAGTCGTGTATTCAACCTCCAATTCACCCCGGGACTTGGAAAAGGCCAAACTCGTGGCCTGTCCAATGTTTTGCCTTGTCGACGAACCAATGATTGTTGTGCTGGTGGACGGGTGGTTTTTACCGCTGTTTCATTTGGGCCGGCAATCCGCATGTCTGTCTGCCAGATAGATTTTGGGCCCGACATCCAAGACTCGACCCTAAGGTCTAGTCCGGGAATAGGGCTTCTACACCGCTCGCACACCCCCCGGTGAGTGCTCGTTCGATGTTCACGCCAACTTCTCTGTAGCAGGCCGGATTTCTGCCTCGGGTTTTAATCTCATTCAGTTCATTTCCCCAAGCGGGAGTACGTATTTCCCCTACGTGTTCTTTCACTTAACATAATGCTTATGTGGCTGGTGAGCTTGCATTGTCCGTAACTGGGTCGAATTAATTGGAACCATCACTAGGTAATTAAGTAAATTTTTTCACGCCTACTTAATGACGTTGGAGTTACGCGCTAGAAGTCCAGGCCTCGACACAATTCGTTCTTTTGTGCAACAAGATCGCCATAGTGATTAATATTTTCGGTTCGAAAGTTCGCATATTTACGCTAGTTTTGATTGGGGATCTGTCCGATTATTTGTACTACTAACTGGAAAGCCAACACCATATCAATTAATAGAAATTACTGAAATGACTAGTCCCGACATCCGTAGCAGATGGAATCAGAGCTTCAACATATTTCGGAGGATTCCTACCTCAAATTGCAATTCCGATGGTATTGCAATGGGATTTTAAATTTCCCCTATGATGTCGGTAGCTTGAATCGAGCAAATTTTAGTTCCCTCTTTTCCGGTGGAGTGTTAAATTTTGGACTGATGTCTTGAGACAGGTCGAAGGCATCGCAATAACTCAATGCGTCCATCCTGTTCGTATGGTGTGTGAGGAGAGACCTAATTGGCACCAGCTGAGTGGCAGTTCTGTGTTCGTGCAACCAAACGTTTTTTTCCCTGATCTCGTATCCAATATTCACGGCCAAACCTAGCCTTAAATTCAACAGAGCATGGCCAGTTCGTGTATACTTTTATAGAACAGCAAGCCTTACATCTTCCTGAGGCAGAAGTTTCGAGGATTTTGTCGCTGTTGTCAATTATGTCATGCTTCAGTTTGCCCGAATTTTCGCAACTTGAATGGAGTGACGGCTAGACATTGCTGAACGTATATACTCCCACATCCTTTGCTCTATTATTCGCTATAATTTCCACCATCAGACCTTTAGGCATATTTCCAGACGCATCGTCGGCGTCGCCAGTATGAGGCCCCAACCTATTCACAAAGTTACAACCTACACAAGCTACGAGTACGTGAAATTCTCCTTTTTCTCCTTTTTCTTTTCAGCCATTGTGTCATCTTCTATTCATGCTCTATCTTATAACATTGTACTACCATCATTCGTCCGCCCTCGTGACGTTTAAGTGTGCGTCACTTTTAATAGATGTAGTGAAGTCTGGGCACATTCCCCACCCTTGGTCGTTGGTGGGGCTTCCGGGATTTGATCAAACAAATGTGCGAATAGGGTTATGTGGAGTTGAGGTTTGGGGAGCAGCGTTATGGGCCAGAGGAGATAAATGGGAGGTGCCAAAACAGTTTGGTAGAGAGTTGCTGAGGGGCCTTCAAGTATCACTTCAATAACCCATAACTGTGCTAAAGTTGGCGCCTTTTGCTGAAGATGCCGGAAAAACGTCTGGGAATGTACTACGTCGGTTGTCTGTTGCTTGAGGTTATCGTGAATAATACTTAGGGCAACGCAGGACCAAGTAAATTCCACAACTCATCTGTCTCCCCGAGTAAGTCGCGAAAACACGTTATTACCAAAGCTAGATAATAAGCAAACTTATTGCCATATAGTCTTGATCCTACTATCTGCGATTGTGACATGTTTACAAATAGTTCGATGCACGACTTAATCATCTTGCAAATATTTCATTAGATGCATCTTTTCGACATAAGCTTAGTAAAAGTTACTTTAAACGAGCCTACTCATGAACAAATGAAAGCATGAGGTGTGGACGCTTAATTGGGTTACGTTTTTTGTGTAAGTATATATGTAACTTTGGGGATATCTTTATTTCGTATCACAGTTCACGGCTGCAGTACAACGGTAGTCAGCCGTAGTTTTTCGGTAGATCGATTTTCTGATCTCTTCTTTATGCACTTTAATAAGAAATGGACGGCTCCCCGACAATGCCATCGAAACCCGGTTACTACTCGTATCCACAATATAGGTAACTACATATACGCAGTAAGCGAGTATCATTAATTAGTCTAGTAGTGGTGCTTGTAATATAGTGCTTTCAGGCTATTTTTAACCAGCTGACGAATTTGCCTCAGCATGCAATTGAATTTAACTCTGGGCTTGTCAATCACAAAGGACTATTCTTTTGGTCTTGTCTGGATCTAATCCGTTAGCCATTTTCGAACCTGTGTATATTTTGATATGATTGACCCGAGATCGACGATACACTCCATCCTGAATGGGGTGAAGACTACGCGTTGGCATGGTGAGGTCTTCTTTCTCCATCATATTCCCAACCAGGGTAGACATTCTCACCGGTAGGACCGTTAATTATGTCTAGTTAAAATCATCTGATCGATTAATAAATAGTTCATTCTATCCTTTCGTGAATACTGCTTGAGAGAGAGCCCAAAATAAATATAATCAAATAAGAGCTATAATGACTAAGTAATTGGATGGAAAAATTCCAGGTGTCGTTACCTTTTGTCCTGCCAGCCCACGGCTGAAGATTTATCTCTCAATATATGGAAGTAATAATTTACACTATAATCTACATAGTTAACGAGACAGCAATTAAGGATATATTGCATCCAAGCTTTACAATATCCGTTCGCCAGGCAAAACGACAATGAAAGGGTCATTTAAATTTAATTATACCTGATTTGCCGAATATTGCCCACAGACCCTCTTTCTGTAGCATGAGGCTCGCGATTCCGTTAACTCCATTTGCTTAGCCCTCACTCATTTGCTCAATTAACAGCGTTCAGCTAAAGCAGGTCAGCTTTAACCCCCAAACTATTACGTCGTACTAGATGTGCTCATCTTCAAAACGTTTCCAAAAGGCAGCTAGGTTCTAAAGAAACGCCTCGAAGATTCTTGTTGAGGAGTTCATTTTTTGCGAATAATTATCGTGGAGCTCGCCGAAATACAAACATATATTAGCATTGTCTTCATCTAACTATACTTGAACCTTTCTGCTGACACCTTCCCCAGTGCATGATTATGTTGATTTTGTAACTACTGTATAATGGGGGTGTCAGATATGGAGGCGGATTTCCTCTATACTATTCTTTATCTTCGAATTAAAAGGGTTATAAAATCCATAGTTATTCTATGTAATTTTGTATTTTCATTCCCAAAAATAAGAATGGCTTCTGGCAAGGGGTCCAGGGAAAGTTAATGCGTATGCACTTACCGTTGACATGCGCCAGAACCTTTTAATTTGTCAATCCAGAAAAAGGGATTTTTTGGGGATCTTCAAATACACTCTGCAGATATTGAGCAATCGGCCTCATTCGGTACAGAGAGCCAAAGAGATTCCTTTCGCTATCTAATGGCACAGCGCAAAATTGAGTTTTTCGCGAATACTTTCAATTTTATATAGTCTACAAAAATTACCCTCATTTACAATACATTCATTCAATATTCTTCAGATAAGGCTGGGCCCGCAGCTACATAAACTCACACTGGTATTGTGCCGGACAGAGTAACTGTGATTACTAAATACATGGTAGGATTCAGCAGAGATGATTGAAGAAAGTAAACTCACGTGAATCATCAATTATAAGCAATCGCTTGACAATTAACTTGATTTTATAAAAAGTGCTGATATTGGCTAATGATAGTGTAGCTGTTGTGGAGACCAACTTCGTATAAAGTGCCCGATAAAGACATTCTTTGCACAACCTTGATTACCCTATCAAGACCCCATTTGGATTTAATTAGATATTTATGTTGATTGAGTCCACAAGATCTCTCTTCGGGCTCGTCATGTCACATGACAAGAGTCGTCTGAGTTGGATCTTCTTGCAAAAGCTTTACGTAGGCGCTAAGTCAGGCAGACTTTACTTTCAAAAAATTATACGAAGTCAAAGTTTGCACAAATATGTGGCATCAGAAGAATCATCGCATGTATAGAGCGCTTTGACAGCATTTCGCCAATGAAAGAACACTTCACGTCTTCCAATTTCTATAAGAAATTCAGGATCATTTTATTATCATCTTTTGCGTTGCATTGATTTTGCAAAAATTAATGAGGTTGTTCCAGTGTTTATCACGTATCGTTAATAGAAAAAGGTATTTTGCTCACTCGACAAGTCTTTAAAGCCAGAAGTAATCT